TAGCGCAACAATGAATAAGGCATGAATTCTGTGAAGCCCTTAGAAAGACAGTTTCCATTTATCATAATATTAATTCAGTGATTATTCTGAACACAGGCTCTGTATCAGGCAATGTGTTAAAAACCACACAGAAACTCCAATTAATAAGGTGGGTTTTTTTTTCAGCCAAAAATCTGATAGCTCTTAATTTACTCTAGTGTTGACCAAAAGAGGTTCATTGCTATCTAAGTCTAGAGATAAAAACTTTAGTTTTTAGTATTAGGCTGATCAAACAACAGGCATATGGAGTGTACTCTATTGTCATAAAACCCTGTTTTATAAACCTATGGACAAATAGTTCCTTTAGTTTAATTGGCATTTAGTGAGAAGTTGAACAGGCAGTTAGTGAGAGGTTTATCACTGAGCTAGTAATTAGGACTTCTCCCATCACAGATTCTACTATGATCTCTCAAATATGAGATAAAACAATCTCTTGGAAATGTGGTATGTATACAACTTAGAACCTTCCTCCCATTACAACTGCTTGAAGATAATCTTTAAAAAATCCTTAGTATATATGTGTATATATACACACACACACACACACACACGCACACACACACACACACACACACACATACACAAATGACAGCCAGTGACTAAGCACTTTTCAGAGTATATATACTTCCAGACCAGAAATGGAAGCTTTATTGTATAATGGGTCAGATAGGAAATACTTCAGCCTGGTGCTGGTGGCTCATGGCTGTAATCCTAGCTACTCAGAAGGATGAGATCTGAGGATGGTGGTTCAAAGCCAGCCCAGGCAGAAAAGTCTGTGAGACTTTTATCTCAAATAAACCACTCAGAAAACCAGAAGTGGTGCTATGGCTCAAGTGGTAGAGTGCTTGCCTTGAGCTGAAGAGCTGAGGGACAGTGCCCAGGCCCAGAGTTCAAGCCTCACGACCACCACCACCACCAACAACAAAGGAAATATTTCAGATTGTTCAGATGTATGATTTCAGCTACAATCACTCAACTTGCCATTGTAGCCTGCAAGCAAACCTGGGTAACAAATGGCCACACTGCAATACATGACATTAGAAAAATAAGTGACCACTGGGATTGGTAGATGACCTTCCCTTCTCAAGCAATGCATTTAGTTATCTAGAGAAACATACTTAATAATTCATCCAGAGAATTATTGAGCATCAATTGTATACCATGCCCTTTGTGAGCAACCAAGAAGATAAAGACTAATATGATAGGGGAGAAAACTTTGGCTTACATGTGACAACTAGGTCTCATGTATATAACAACAAAGAGAAGAGTTAATGAAGAAAACTGCTTGGAAGTCAGACAGAAGAGAATAATTCACTCCAACTGGGAATGGAGTGGGTAAGTCTAAGGCCTCATTCAGGGGATGAGACTGGGTCTTGAAGAAAGATTGGTATTTTCCAGGAGTACAGGTTAGATGAGAGTATAAACCTGAGTTCCAGGAATGGAAGGGTTTTCACAGAACCTTATTCTCTGGATTTTGATAACACTGGAGGTAAATCTCACTCTGTTAACCTATGTCCTAACAGCCTATGTAACACCATAAAAAGAGCACACTGCCATCTCAAATGACACCGAGGGGCTGTTGATTGGAATCTGGGAAGGAGAGCTTGGGGATCGTGAAAGAGTGGTAGTATTGGTAGGCCTTCCGTGAAATGGCAATTTGTCATATTCTGTGTACACATCCATTTAACTGGATTCTAATTTTATGCTCACTGAGCAACTTTCTGATTTATGAACCTACCAACCTAAAGAGAGAGAATGGAACAAGTGAAGAATGATGGTTATTATGTCAGGTGACCTCCCGAAGTAAATCAGAAAATTCATTTTATTCTGGTTCAGAAATTAGTGTTTTCAACTTTTGAGCCACATGAAACCATCACTCAAAGCTTGAGTAAATGTGGGAACAGGGATAAGATGTAGCTTATTGACAAAGTGCTTGCCTAGCAGGTTCAGTATGTACAACACTCTAGGTTTGATCCCTAGTACGAAAAAAGAAAAGAGTTAAAAATGTGATTAAATATATTACTGAGATGTTGGGTTTAGAGAATTGGGAGTCAAAACCATAGCTCCTCAAGGCACCCAGAGTTTAATGTGATAGTTCTCACTCTTCAACTTCAGAACCTGAGAATGGAAGGTCAAAGAACCATTGCCTTCCTAGTTGTTCTTGATCACAGCATAATGGAGAGCCAAGGTCTGCTACCAAATAATCAAGGAAGAAATATGAGAATAAGCCAGGTACTAGTGGCTCATGCCTGTAATCCTAGCTACTCAGGAGACTGAGTTCTTAGGACCACAGTTCAAAGTCAGCTCAGGCAGGGGAGTCCATGAGACTCTTCTCCCTGATAAACTACTCAGAAAAATCAGAAATGGCACTGTGGGTCAAGTGGTAGAGTGGTAGTTGTGAGCACAAAGATGCTCAGGGACAAACCCCAGATCCTGGTTCAAGCTCCAGGACTAACAGAAAAAAACAAAAACAAAATAAATGAGAATAGAAGTAGGGTGAGGAGAGACAGGCCAGTGATGTGGCAGACAGACATACAGACAGACTTGTTATGCAAACTCTTGGAGGGAAAAGATGGAATCTGACATTACTTAGCACATAGCTAGACATAGAATGTATGCTCAGCATCTACTGAATAAACACATGAGTAAATGCACTAATTCCAAATGAACTAAGAAATCAGAGGGACTCTTCAAGGCTGGAACCTTATCAAAACAATGGAAATACCATGATAAAACAATGAAACATCTTTTAACAATTAACATATACTTTAAAATGAATAATAAGAGTGTAAATAGGTCCTATCCAGGGGTGTAGGTATTAGTGGGAAAGGGGAAGGAGAAAGTGGATGAAGGAGGATAAATACGGTCAAAATGCTTGATGCGCTTGGATAAAAATAGAACAATGAAGCTTATTGGGATTGGTTTGTGGAGGAGGGGATAAGGAAGCGTGATGGAGAAAGGAATATTATATATATATATATATATATATATATGCATACATTGTATACATATGTGGACATATCAAAATGAACCCCCCCCTTGTACAAGTAATTGATAAATAAAAATGTAGGGGAAAATAGAGTCATATGTATTCTTCTGGATTTTCTTTTACACTGTCAATGTCTTTCTCCAGAGATTTACCCTTATTGTTTAGTGTAGTTTTTCCATTGTCCCTCTGCACAAACTGATTATATGTATATATTGCAATTCATATATCCATTTTTACTGGTTCTGATCTTATATAACAGGATTCCTAGGAGTACTCCTACAAATAATTTTTAGTAGACCGGCTTATGATTTCTCTTAGGTATATACAAATATACACACTGCCATTTAAGTTTGTATATATTTTCCACAGAAGGATGTGAACAAAATATTATGTATAAAACAAAGTGACAGAGTAAGGTAATTAAAGGGAGTTCATTTTTGTAAAAAGATGTATATATAAGATCAAAACAAACATATACCAATGATTTTTTTGTGTATTCATGTGTACATGTGTATGTGCATAAATTTAATTTCAGATAGGAATGACAATATAAACAAATATATCTGGTTACTTTAAAGGAGCATATCAGCTGTGGAGGACGGGGAAACTGTAGTCTGACTTAGTACGGTTTTGTATAGTTAATTTAAACACAAATTTATTGTGTCTATAAATTAAAATATTTAATTAAAAGGCAAAGTTCTGTCAACACTCTTAAGAAACTCTAGTGTAATTCTAGGAATTTATTTTAAAATTTAATCAACTTTGCTACCATTACACTCTGCAATAGAAATCAGTATTGTAAAAATTTATTGTAAATAAAAATCAGTTAAAGGGTAATGGGTTTGCACCACTTTAACCTTCATATTTTTCCTATGTGATTACACTAATGTTTATAGCAAAACTCTAGGTTGTGTTTTACCAAAATTTTTAGATGATCAACCAAAGAATTTCCTTCAATAGTAAACTGTGGAAAGATAAAGAGATCAAAATACTAAACTTACAGGACAAGATGATGACCTAAAAAACATGGAATGGGATTCTTTTATCCTGAAGATAAAAAGAAACAATATTTGTTCTGAGAAGACAAAAGATTTATGATTGTGTATCTATATCACATAAATGGTGGTGTTAAAACAGACAACGCAAATAAGAATGACAATTAAAATGACCAATACCTTTTTCTTGTATTTTCTGGGTAGTAGCTTGATAGTGGCAAGGAGATTCTTCCATCTCTTGATCAGATTTTGTAGCAGAGGAGAGTGAAGTGTCTCCCCAGACAAAGGGGGAAGACCCCCTTTCGGGGTACAGTGGTCCTTCTTGCAACTCATCTATGCGGTCAGACGAGGAAACACGACTAGCCACTGGGGTGAGGGATGGGACCCCGGAATCTGATTCTGGAGAAGAAGTTCCCAGACCCTTGGGCAGAAGTGGTTTGGTAACATGCATGTGATTATAAAGACTCTTTGACGGCTGTTGATATAAGAGATTATAAAGGAGGTTATGCCATTGAGTACCGGTTCTGCCGACATACTTACTTTGAAATAAGACTGACCTTTGTTTTTAATGAACCCCAAGAAAAGGACTTTCTGTTTGTTGGTTTACTGAAGAGAATGCATGGCTCATAGCTATCAGCCATATTAACATTGGAGCTAAAACCAATATCTAAGACACATAAAAGCATTGACTTCTGCAGGCATTCTTTCCCATTAAGTCAAACCAAGAGCTGAATGCTGTAAATGCCATTATTAAATATGACTATGTGGATACTGTTCTTGGCTGGTTGAGTAAATAGAGGGCAGGCTGTAATTACAAATATAGCAAGTTGCATAAAAACTCAAGAGACAAAGACAAGAACTATCCTAGCTGTTTCCAACTAGGGCACAAAGTCTGGTTGCACAGTAACCACTATTTTCAACAGGCTGTAGGAACAACAGTACACCCACACAGGTCTGAAACAGCCCAGGATGCCCACCTTCCTTTCTAGGCTGTCCTCTCCATCTGTTGAACTGACACTGTCATACAGCCGTGTCCGAGTGGGCCTCTGACGCCTGTTCTTCACAGAGAGCTGGGCTCGAGTTTTCAATGCCTTTGAATCCAGGCGCTCTGTTTCTGGTACTGCTTCATTCAAGTCTAAGGAAAGAATATTACAAAATCATTAGACAGAGAAACCTTGGGAGAGGATTGACAAAGAGACCACAGACACTGGGAGCAAAATCTCAAAGTTATCAGTAACACCAAGTGAGGGGCTACAGCCATTCCAGTCTAACTGATATTCCACGGGTGACACAGGAATGAATAACAAGAGTAATATACAAATCCTAAATGAACAATCCAAAATTAAAAATGACCAAGGTCACAATGCAATTATCCTCCAACGCAATTATTAACAGCACTTTTTTTTTCTTTTTCTGTTTTGTGGGCTGAACTACAGGCTTTGGCATTATAGGAAGTTCTCCCCAACTTGGGCCATCTTAGCCTTCTATTTCTGTTTTTCTTTAAAATAATCTCACTGCTTTGCCTAGTTGGCCTCTAACACATGATCCTCCCACTCCTGTCTCCTGGGCAGGTATGAGTACAGGTATATGTCATGACACACAGAAAAAAAAACCATAAATTTGATTTGTTTCTATGAATGGATTTTGGGGTGTCCGATGATCATACAAGTGGAGAGTGAATCAAAATAGGGTGATCTTAAAAACCCTAAGGATGAAAACAGATTTTCAGAGTCAAGTGCAGGTAGCTTGAGCAAATCTTAACAAGCCATACCACTTTGGTCTTAATATTTCCTTTTCTGACAAAACAGTTTCTGAATATCTCATCTGTTCCTTTCTGAAGCTTGTAGAAAGCTTATAGGAAAAAATTTAACCCTACCTAACTTAAAGTAGCCGAGGAAAGAAAACAAGGTCTATCTACACAAACTGCGAGGAAGTTAAACAACCACAAGTACTTAACATTAGTAGCATATGGATTGAGCAAGATAAAATTTTTCCTTAACTTCTATGTTTACATTTTGTTTGTCTATGCCTCTGTCTTGTCTCTTTTTTTTTTCAGATATCTTCTCTTCCCACCAGAAACAAAATTAGTTTTCCATGAGAAAATGTTTAATGAAATCTTTAAATAAAAAGACTTCATGAAGGCCTGTGTGATGGTACATACCTATAATCTCTGCTACTTAGGAGACAGAAATCAGCACAGTTCAAGGCCAGCCAGGAAAATAATAATACTTTATCTCAACAAATAAGTCAGGGATTTTAGTAAGGTTGGTTGCACACGTATTGTAATCCCAGATTATAGATGTCTCCGTGGGAGATGTAGGTAAGGGATCTCAAAAAGCAAGAAAACTTGTCTGAAAAAAATAACCAAAGAGCTAAAATTTAAAAAGCCTAGGAACATGGCTCAAGTGGAGTACTTGTCTAGCAAGCTCAAGACCCTGAGTTTAAGCCTTAGTGGAGGGAAGGGTAGGGGGAGAGACTCCAAGAGAAAGAAGAGGACAGGACACACACACACACACACACACACACACACACACACACACACAAAATGAATGAGGAAAGGCTACAAGGAGGGATTAATGTGGTTCTCATTAGTCTGGCTCTTACCAGACTTTGATTTTGCTGCCCAGAATCTAAATCAAGACCCTAGTGTTAACAGTTTACTCATGAACATGGCTATTGTAGGTGCTGGTTGGAGAAAAGTGTGCTTGCTGGTATTTAGTGGAACTGTAAGTACTTCTTATATCTATCCTTACCTTCATACCTTCAAATAAAATTGTTGGATGTGAAGGGGAAACAAAGGAGGAGGCAGCCATGCTTGATAAGAAATGTACTCATTACCTTGCCCATGTAATTGTAACCCCTCTGTATGGTATTTTCATAATATAAAAAATAAAAAAGAAATAAAATTGTTAGCTCATGAACCCTATTTTATCTTTTCATTAAAACGGTCACTTTCAAGGGGTTAACAAGTGCATCTGGATTTAAGTTATTGAAAAACAAGCAAAAAACCGATTTGCAGAAAGTTGTGTAATAATAAGACCTCAGACTATGCCTCTACTGTAGGAAACTGAGCACTTGACTTTTGGTTCTAACAAATAAAATTAAATACATTTTTCCCCAGGAGATACATCCATTGAGTGACAGTATTTACAGAATGTTTTGATTTTCTTTCCTATACTCAAATGAAGAATGAATGCTTAGAAAAATATTCTTCTAGAACATATAAAGAACAACTAGGTATTTTCTAATTTGTACTCTATTATTTATATGCAGTGGAGGAAAAACAATCTTCACCACTTTAATTTCCTGCTTCCAATAAAATCTATATTTGCAGCTACACTTTAAGAGTTCATTCCTTGTGATAATTGGGAAAAAGTCAACTTTACAAGCTCTGTTTACATATATACTACGAACACCATATAGACAACAGTACTAATATAATTTGAAATATAGGATGCATACATGTTTTATATCTTTTCTGTCTTCTATGAGGACTGACTGCTCTATGACACAAAGCCCTAGCACATACACCACCTCATTTGTTTCTTATTAGAGCCCCATTAGACACCAAGCAAAGGAGAAACCCTAGGTCTCCTTGGTACAGGCCAAAATTTTCTTAATAGAGACCCAGAAACACAACACATCATAGAAAGGTTGGACAAATGGGATTGCATGAAGTTGCAGAGCTTCTGTATGGCAAAGGGCATAGCAAGGAAGATCAATAGAAAGCACATGGATTGGGAGAAGATCTTCACTAGCCATGCAACAGACAAGAGTCTCATATCTAAAATATACCTGGAACTCAAAAAACTAAATCCCCAACAACAAATCTCAAAAAAACAACTGCCCAATAAATAAGTGGACTAAAGACATAAGGAGAAACTTCTCTGAAGAGGAAATAAGAATGGCTAAGAGACACATGAAGAAATGCTCAACTTCTCTAGCCATAAAAGAAATGCAAATCAAAACAACAGTGAGATACCACCTCAGTGGCTATACTCAAGAACTCTAATAATAACAGATGCTGGAGGGGATGTGGACAGAAGGGAACCCTACTGCATTATTGGTGGGAGTATAAACTTGTTCAACCACGTAGAAAGTAGTATGGAAGTTCCTCAAAAGACTCCACATAGAGCTCCCCTAAGACCCAGCAATCCCACGTTTGGGCATTTACCCAAATGATCACAAACAAGACCATACTAAAGCTACCAGCACAACTATGTTTATTGCAGCATTATTTAGCATACCTAAGATATGGAACCAACCCAGATGCCCCTCAGTAGATGAATGAATCAAGAAAATGTGGAATATATACACAATGGAATTCTATGCCTCCATCAGAAAGAATGACATTGCCCCATTTGTTAGAAAATGGAAAGACTTGGAGAAAATTATATTAAGTGAAGTAAGCCAGGCCCAAAGAAACATAGGTCCCATGGTTTCCCTCATTTGCAATAACTAGTATATATCTGAGACAAGCAGAAAAGGTCAGATAAAATGATGTTAAAGCAAAATGAACCCCAAGATAAGGACTCAAATGTTTTTTTTTCTTTCTTGCTGTTGTTTCTAACGTATTTATAAGGTACCACGTGATTTTTTTGTTGTTTTATATGTCCCTCCCCCATGGTATAAACCATTTTCACTGTATCTGATGTTGATATAATTTGGGGAGTGGAAGGGGAAAAAAAACAAATTGTTTAAATAAGGATACAGGTTGACCCATTGCATGTACAAGATGCTATGTCAAAAAATGAACTTTACAACTTTGGCGGGGTAGAGGGTATGGGGGTAGGGAGTGGAGAGGGGAAGGGATGGTTTGGGGAAACAAAGGAGGAGGCAACAATGCTTGATAAGAAATGTAGTCACTATCTTGCCCATGTAATTGTAACCCCTCTGTATGGTATTTTCACCATAATAATAATTTTTTTTAAATGTAAAAAACAGAAATGTACTCATTACCTTGCTCATGTGATTATAACTCTTCTGTATAGTATTTTCACAATAAAAACATTTTTAAAAAGACACCAAGCAAGCATATTTTTAATCTCTCCTAAAGCTCAGAAAATTCAAGTCACTTACCCTCATCTATACAGCTAGTTAGTTGATAAACTCTCATGATTATATTGACTCCTAGGCTACTAGCTATCCACTCCAATTTATCTAGTGTTGAAAAAAACCACTGCTTTTAATACCATTTTAATATCATTAGAGATCAAGGTATTAGGTTATTAAATCACATTGCCAGTGTAGAAAATTCAACGTTCAGTGAGTTACTCATGAATATAATCATTAATCTTCCAAATATTTTTTTCTGAGAATACAGGAAAAAAGGGAAGACATTTGTACAACTACAGAACAAATTACTTCTCATCAGGTGATTTCATGCATCATTTATTTAAAAACAACTTTGGCTACTAAGTGACAAAAAAGCCCACGGAGGAAGTGCCTCCACCTTTGTAAACACAATTCCTTTGCAATCCAGTCATGGCCCTTGAAGAAAGAGGGTATCTTCCCTCATTCAGGACTGCAGTAGCTTCTCCATCATTGCTACTTACAAATAAAGTGGAGGAAAAGGACAGTGACTTGTGAGCAGGGCTTCAGAATGCAAAGAATATATTCTGAAACTCATGATTCCATTACTACTAAGTAGCTCCTACTGCTACTGTCAGACAGTCCAAAATATCAACAGGGTATCTTTGCTTTTGCATCAGTGATCAGACGCAAACTGCTTGGGCACACACACGGAATTAGATCTACTAAAGATGCTGAAGTCTGAAAAGCAGCACTTTGAGTTCAATATTCAAGTGGCAATAACAAACTTTATGCAATTACCAATTTCTTTTTACATTTTTATTTGTTGTGTAGTGCTGGGGCTTGAACTCGGAGCCCATATACTGTCTTTTCAAGTTTTGGGTTATTTTTGCCATTCCTAGGATTTGAACTCAGGGCCTGGGCACTGTCCTTGAGCTTCCTTTGCTCAAGGCTAACACTCTACCACTTGAGCCACAGTGCCACTTCTGGCCTTTTATATTTATGTGGTACTGAAGAATGAAACCCAGGGCCTTCATGCATGCTGGGCAAGCAGTCTGCTCCTGAGCCACATTCCCAGCCCCTTTTGAGCTTTTTTTGCTCAAG